GTAGCTCTATAGTTTATTTCTTCTTTCTTTAAGCTTTTACTAGCATAAGCAATAGGATATTCTTTTTGGTCTTCTGCTGTTTGACTTAAAGTAGCTTCAAATCCAATATAAGAAGCATCAATAGCTAAGATAAACTCTTTCTTGTAGTTGGGATAGATTAGGATAGGGGCAGTTACTAATTTTGCTTGAGTTCATTAAAGGCTTTCTAGCAATTAGAGCTTTATTCATAAGAGTTATCCTTATGCAATAGCTGGTTTAGAGGTTGGACGATAGAAGAGAAATTTTGAATAAATCTTCTATAGTATCCAGCAAGTTCTAAGAAAAATCGGAGTTAATACTGGTAGAAGGTAAGATAGTTTGTACAGCAGTTATTTTGTCTGGGTCTGGTGATATTCCTTTTTCTTCTATTATGTGTCCAAGAAAAGGTAAATATTTCATCCAAAAATTACACTTCTCTATATTAAGCTTTAATCTAGCTTTTCTGATTCTGGTGAATACTTCTTATAGATGTTTGATATGATCATCAAAAGTTCGAGAAAATACATTGGTATCATCAAGATAAACCACTACATACTTATAAGCTATTCTTTGGTAAACCTGATTCATAAGTTGTTGGAAAGTTGCAGAGACATTGCACAATTCAAATAGCATTACATTAAACTCATAGGTATCATATCTTGTAATAAAAACAGTCTTTTCTTTATCAGCTGGGTGTACCATAACTTGCCAATATCTACTTATAAGTTCTAAAGTAGAAAAGTAAGTAGCTTTGGCAAGTGAATCTAACATTTCGTCTATTCGAGGCAAAGGGTATTGGTACTTTTTAGTGATAGCATTCAACTTCTGATAGTTAACACAAAATCTCTTTTTGCTATTTTTTTTGGCTACAAGTACAACAGAAGAGGCCCAGGGACTTGAGGACTCTCATATTAATTTATTGTCCAACATTCATTATACTTCTTTATTGATAAACTTCTGTTCTATAAGAGGTACCATGTAGAGTCGAGAACTAATAGGGGTATATCTTCAGTATATATTTGATGAGTTACTAGGTTGGTCCTTACTAGTTGAGTGATATCTTTTGCAAAGAGGTCCGCAAATTCTAAAAGTAATTGTCGAAATTGGGCTCCTTGACTTGGGGTTAAAGGTTCTATTTTTGGAGCTATTTCCTGAGTGATAGTATATACTTCTTGTTTTAATAAATTTTGTTGTAGGTTAAATCTAAGGGCATCTGTTTTTGTTGGTAATTCATCTGTGTCTTCAAGTAGTTTTTCATCCTGCTTAAGATTATTTAAAAATTTAGAGGTTCATTTTCAGAGAGAGAGAACTCTGAGTATAATCCTTTCATTCAATTATAAAAAGCTTCGAGATGGTCTATTCTATTCTGAAGAGTGATAATAATCTGAGATTGTTGCCCAAATATTTCAACCTGTTTCTGTAAAGCTTTAATTATTTGTTTCTGTTGTTCCACTTGTTGTTGTAACAAGTGAATCATTTCCTGTATCTTTTCATTTAGCTGGATAATAGATGGAGTTGGATTTTGAAATAGTTCATGTGGTTCATTGTCAAGTAAAAGAGGAGTTGGAGTTTGATTTGGAGATAGTTTTTCTGTTTCTGGTTCTGATAGTAGAGAAGATGGATGAAGTTTATCATGACACTCTTGACAATATTAATCGTATTGTTCAAGTTCGGTCTTAGCTTTCGCCATAAGACAATTTCTACAAAGTCCTACAGTTTCTTGGAAATTTCTTTGTAGATTCTCTATGGCTCTTTATTGGTCAAAGTCAGAATGGCTAGTATCGAATGATTCAGCTAAGATTCTTTGTAATTTTTCTGCTTCAATTAAGGTCAACTCAATATGAGGGCTCTTATGATAAGGTTGATTTTTTTATCAGTATAGTTCTGGTTAGAGCAGTCTGTTGCTAGGGGTTCAAGAGCACTAGCAAGTTGTTTGCTATTTTCATCTAGTTGGATTTGGGCTAGGCGATAGATTCGGCTTTGGTTGAGGTCATAGACATGTCTAGCATTTTTAGTAGATTCGGTATAATGTTTAACTCAAATCTACAAATTGTAATTAGGGTTCTATTTAATATCTTTGACAGCCTTGTAAGCATACAAGTATTCTAAACCACAAAACCAGGTGTCTTCTTCCACTGTGTCTAGTTTGTACATTCTGGATCTAATAAATTCTTTACTACAAACTTGACACTTAGTGAGGGTTTCTCGTCCATTATCATTGGTAAAGTATTCAATACTTCTTAAGTCATCTCGGTCTAATTCATAATGAAAGTCAGTCCAGCAAGCTCTACAGACTAGAGTCTGGTCTAACAATCTAAGGTCTTCTGGTCTCTGAGGTACTTTACATTAACAACAATGGTTAACTCTTTTGCAAGAATAGTAGCTTTGCTATTGTTTATTTACTTCATCAGAGAAATATCCATATCTATATCTTTGGTTGTCCAACTTGATGGAGGCAAAAGGGCAATCAATACTAATATGACCATATTGATCATATTGGTGGCATTTATTCTGGGGGCAGTTTCTATAGAAATGGGTTTTCATTAGTGGTTTCTATAGGGTCAACAGTATAAGCTTCTTTAGAAACAAGATATTTCTGTTCAAATTGGGCTAGATCTTTTTCATCGGTTACTGTTGGTTGAGCTAGCAAAGGTTGGTGTTATTCATAGATAGTTGGAACATAGATTTTCTTTTTATTCTACTTAATTGTATAGGCCTTGTTTTTTTAATTGTAACTGGCTTTAACTTTTTGTGACTAGTTATTTTCTAAGAGCAAGGAGTATGATGTAGCGTCCATTACTTTCACATCAAAAGGGATATTGACTCCTTCAATTTCTACTGGGAGGTTTTTAATAATTCTTAGAGGTTTAGTAGAGGGTCCAGTAGCTGATATAATTAAGCTTGTAGAAGGGGCTTCAATTTTCAGACCAAGTTCCTTGACAACTTTGTGGGAGATCATGCTAATTGCAGCTCCACTATCAACAATAGTATTGTAAGGTCTGTTTCTAAGTTTAATATTACACTTAACAAGAGTAGTATAAGTTGGTGTTTGTATCTGGTTAGAGATGCTAGATTCTTCTGTAAGATAACTAGCTAAGGCTGTTCTGATAGATTCATTGACTAAGAATTATTCAAATTGTTCATAGGTATAGTCATTAACTATATCTGCAATGTATATATTTCAAGAGTAGGGGGTAGAAGATCGGCTTCTAGATCTATGGTTCCAGTTATAAGAGGAACAGTTGTTAGAATGATATCTATCACGGGATTGACTTCTGCTTCTAGACCTATTTCTATGGTCATAGTCTCTGTTTCTGGACCTATTTCTATTGCGAAATCTGAATCTGTCATAGGATCGATTATTCCTAGAGGAGTATCTATTATCTTGGCTAGAGGATCGATAATATCGATAATCACGTGAGCTTCTTCTATTATCTTCTCTTCGTGTATAGCAATCTCTAATAAAGTATTCTTGATTGCCACAATAGTAGCAGGTATTGTCTCGAGAATTATTGTTATTGTTATTATTATTATCTCAGTAAGAGGAATTGTTACTTTCAGAATAATAGACAGGAGTAGCAAGTTGTTTTTTAGCAAGGTTAATATTGAGCTTGGCAATTTGTTCGGTAAGGCGGGCAATAGCTTGGTCATTTTCATTACCATTAGTATTATTTTCAGAGGCTATAACTTGTCTAGTTTTCTATTTACGTACCTCTTGTATAGCACGGTTCAGATCAGCAGGTTCAGTGGCTTGTATATTCAAAGCATATTCTGGTTATAGGCCTTGGATAAAGAATTGAACCAACATGGCTCTAGGGATACTATTATTAGGATCTACTCGAAGTTGAAGTTGTTTGAAGTGGCTAATGTAAGTATCAACTGTGTCTGTTCCTTGTTTTATTTCAAAAAGCTGTTTTTGCCAAGTAGCTTTTTGTCTAGTTATACTGAACTTTGCTTTAAACAGATGAGTAAAACTATAAACATGGTTGCTATCTACTATTTAGTCATGTTAAGCATGGTGATAGTGAGTAGGAGCATTGGCAAGACTAGTAAACCATTCTTGGGCATTGTCCTTTATATATGCAGTGGCTAATTCTAATTGTTAGGCAGGACTCCAGTAATTGGTTTTGGCAGCACAGTCAAATTTATCTAACCACATCAGCAAATTATATAAACGTAATCTTACGTAAGTTATTACAGACCGAAAAATTCTGCAATAATTACAATCGACACAGAATATTTTGCAATTTTTAATTACGAAATATTACGAAATATATTACGCTATATTACGAAAAAAATTTCGAAATAATTTGCAATAATTCGAAACTAGAAAAAATAAATTAGCTATCCCTTAAACCGTCCAGCAGCTAAATATACCTGCTAAAAAACAACTTGCTACTCCTGTCTATTATTCTGAAAGTAACAATTCCTCTTACT